AAGAGATAAATACAAATTTTAAGTTTTGCATCTTGGAGTTTTATGGGCATTTTTACCACTACTTTGTCCCCTATTGATAGAACTTCACCAAATTTGGCTTGAAGGTTTGTTGGGACCATGTGGAGATACATGCAAATTTGCAGTTTCACATTTTGTGTTTTGCAGTTTTTATGGTGTTTTTGCATTTTTTACAATTACATATAAGGGAAGCAACTTTTCATGTCCTAAGCTAACCTTTCATTAATCATGAATTTACATAACTTCTGTCCAGTTGATGGTTACTCCAGCTAGCTTGAAATAAACTTAGCAGTTTATTACTGTATATGTTGTCAATAATTAATTTATTATACAAATTGCATTATCAAAGTGGCATATTATGTCGTTATCTTCATATAAATCATTTTGCTCAAACCAACAACTTGCTCAGAAAATACATAATAAACGTAATGCTTTCTTGTATAAACAAACATGTTTAACAATGCTGATATGTCTACATATCTTTGTTTTGGAGCAATGTTACCTGACTTGACTGTAGTATAAACCATTCTGATGACCTCTATATACCTGTTGCAGTTTATGTGTACATTCTTAACGCGAAAGTTATTCTCGGAAAAATTGTCGTAAACTGATATCCATTGCAAGTACAGGTATTTTGTGGTCAGTAATTATCATGTTCTGATCAGCCCCCTACTTTACGCTTAAGAAATAGTTGTTTGGATTTAGGATGCAAATATATGTATTAATGATTAAAAGTTTCCTGTTGTGAAGATTTGTCTATATAAAGACCAGTAATAATGGTCACTGTATAAATTGTTCCTTTTATTGATGATTTTGGCTCAACTACTGGTCATAATACTGAAATGTGATACTGAATCATAATTTGGTTGTACATGATTTACCCTATTACCCACTCTTTGTTTATAATAATTTCACTAAAATCTTTCGCTTATATTACTTTTCTAAATTTGTATTTAATAATTTACATAAAATATACAGCCTCACTGATTTGTTTTTTAATTACACTGTAGTTTCAAAGTATTTATGAAAATTCAGTAGCCACATATTGCATATTTCTCAAGTTATTTAAATGTGACTCCAATAATTTAAGTAGTTATTTATATTTTGGTGGCTAACAAATTCACCATTATCAGGGATCAAAAATATACATTATATTTCTTTTGAATATCATATTGTTTTAATTCTGTTTATCAAGATATTAATGTTACTCATGCTCTCATGTCCTATTGGGTGTATTCTTTTCAAATTTGTAAAGAAATTTATTTCCATTCAGTTAGGTATTACGTTTGATAAAGATAAATTAAAAATTCTTAAATTTGTGGGTTAATCAACTAAACCTCAATAGTTCTTATTTATCATATGAAATTATCTTGAAATTATACAGATAAGAAATATAAATTACTAACATCAGAAAAAGATTAGAAAAAACTAAAATTAATTCTGACAGACGAAAGTAATACCATGGTTTACCTCATTCCTTCCAGAAAAGACACTCCGAGCTGTGTTATATACAGATGCTGCAGCACTCAGAGCTCCAGTAACCAGTGCTTCAGGAAGAACCTGTATTGGCCTACATTTTAAAAAAGCACAAAATATTTAATGAAATGTATTTTAAGAAACTCAAGGCCTGACATAAAGTTAACAAAGAAGAAAATACATCAGGGGTTGAGTTGGGTAATTTAATCAATTACCTAAAAGCAACAATTACAATGAGTAATGGCATGTAATCTAACTAATTAATCAAAATCAGTGTTTCCAATTATTAGTGTTTTCAATTACTCCAACAACAGAATTATGGTTAAATTGACTGTCACAATAACAATGAACTAATCAGAGTATTCCCACTAAACATGTTCATCCTGTCTTTGTTATTACAAAGCTACTAAGGCTATCTGCCACTGTCACTAGTTTTGAAATGTTGACTAGAGGGAAGACAACTAGTTGACATTAGTTGCTGCCAGCTTTTTTTTCTTCGTTTCTTTAATTGTTGACTAGAGGAAGACAACTGTCTAGTAGCACTTTCCAAACACGTTTCTTTTTTTACAGTAGCACTTCCCAACCATGTTTCTTTTTTCTTTTGTCTAGTAGCACTTCCCAAACATGTTTCTTTTTTCTTCTTGAATTGCTGACTAGAGGGAAGACAACTGTCAAGTAGTACCTGCCACCCGTTTTTTTTTTCTTGAATTTATGACTCTAGGGAAGGCAACTGGTTAGCAGTACCCACCACCAACATTTTTTTTTGCTAGTATGTACCATGATTTGAGAAACACTATGCTAATCAATTAAGAAATTCAACTGATTACCCAGCTCTAACCTAATCAAAGACACAGATACACACATATATATATAAAAAAAAACATTCTATTTATTGTTTATTTCAGAAGCCATAATTCAGACTTTGGAAAGATAACATGGGAAATTCAGTCATTAAAACAAAAATTATAAGCTGTCAAATAGTTTTAATAAATTACTCAAAATCAGCTCTATTTAATCAACAATAACCTCTCTTTAGATAAAAAAAAATCCACAAAATAATTTGATATACCCTAAAACAGTTCTAACCCGATCTAGCACAACAACGATCTTTGTACAGAAATAAAAAATACACAGAATAATTTAATATACAGTACACAGAGGCATATATATATATATATTTGATCTAAGACAACAACGATATTTCTAAATAGGGGGAAAAAAAATCCACAAAATAATTTATTATACACTATACACAATCATTTATTATATATAATCCAGCAAAACAATGATCTTTCTACAGAAAACTTAAACTTCATAATGACAAAACTGCTCCTTTTGTTCACTTTCCATGATGATAATATATTTAAATCACAACAGTCAAATTACCATATTTAAACAGTTCTCAAAATTATAAATAACATTACCAGATTCAGCTGCTTTTACTCTTCACACCAATGCTTTTCAGGAGAAGCTTTAATTTCTTAGCCAAAATTATTTATAATGATACCAAAGTCAGCTACTTTAATTCTTCATGAGGGACAATCTTTATTAAATTCTATTAATCAAAAATTAAGAGCAAGATTACCAAAAGCTACTACATTAACCTTTTTTGTGAAGCAATTTTCACTTTAATATTTTAGGAAAATTTACCCATCATCAGCTTTACTTACTTTTCTGGAGGAGAATTTCCCGAATTCGGCTTCAGAGGGGGAGAGGAAGTTTTATTTGATTTATATTTAATGGTACATGAAGTTTCTGGTCCTTTTTTGTTGTTTCCAGGAAGGACATCAGCTTGTGTGTTCTGTTTCTGTAATTCTTCCTACAAATATACAAATTCCATGCACATTCATATCCTCTATTCACTAAAAAAAATATCTTTCATTTTGGAAATATAATAAACATCAGTTAATAATTGGTTTATTCCATGAATTTAATAAGAGCTGTAAAAACTAAAGCCCATGGAAAGAGTCAATCTTATTCCTTCCCTAAAAAAAAATCGTAGGTAAATAATAATAAAAAAAAACTACCCAGATTAGCCAAGTATATAAAAAAAAAGACTTTAAACTTACTGATATACATTGGCTAAAAAAAATAACTGACTCAATGTGGTATATCTATCTCAAAAACATTTTATTTAAAATGGATACCCATCCAGCAGTATAGTTATAATTTTATCTTTTAAAATCAGTCAATCAATTGCAATGGCCAACAAATCATTTTCATCAGCTATAATGATAGATGGGCTAGATAGCTCTTGGGATGCTGATTCCAAATCTGTTTTTGGTTTTCCTCTAGCATGTCAAGTTTTCATGATGAGACTGATCATATTTGAAAGATTATTGCCTTAATTATAATTTAAGTTGTTGTACATTTCTTTTTTCATAAGTGTGTACTGTATAAATTTAACCAAGTTTATGGGAATTATACTGAAAAATGAATAAAGTTGTAACGTTAACTAGCCTAATGTGTGATTATTACGTAAATTGTGCTGAAATTAACACCAGTCACATTTTGATAACTAGATGTGCTAGAATAAAACGATAACAGATTTGGAATCAGCGTGAAAAACTTGTCTTATATCTTTGATGAGAGAAAAAAAGTTTGATTTTGTCGATCAGTGTTGTTAGTCACATAAGAAAGTGTCATCACTTCCTGTAACTTTGGCCTACTTTTGCAAAATCTAAGACAGTTCAATGCTTATTAGTTATGTACTTTTAAACAAACAATTATGTTTAGAATAAAATGTAGCATGAAAAGAATGCTTAGCTCATCTGGCCTTTCCACCAAAAAAAAAAAGTTTCAGTACCTCTGTTCTATTATATAAAACAAGGACTTTAATGTACAAATAAAAATTGTCTTTTTGATGTCACACAGAGAAAAAAAAAGGTTTCATGAATTTTTCTGTACTGATAGTAATTTGTTTTGGTTTGTTTGTTTAAGTTAAGCACAAAGCTACACAATGGGCTATCTGTGCTCTGTCCACTAAGGGTATCGAAACCCGGTTTCTTAAGTCTGCAGACATACCACTGAGCCACTGATAGTAATAACATACAAGTTTATATATTTCATCAATAATGATTTAAAGCCATTGAGTCTAATTTTTGGTTTTCTGAATAAAGGTACATCAGTTCTTTCTTCTAATATGAAGGTAAAAAAATATTTAGGATTATCTTGTCTTTATATAAATTGGCAGTATGCATAAATAGACATAATCAAAATGACTGTGTACTTAACACTGCTTTATCTGTACAATATATCATATACTGTCAAGTTTGACTTCTATGAATATATAGTCTGTAAAACAGAAGTCATATTGATGAATAATTTTACAGGTTTCCTTTTTTTGTTATAATTATCAGCACAAAAACATGTTTAGTTCATCTCAAGCCTAATAATCCAAGCAGAACACCCGAAATGCAGAAAAACATTTGTTAACCAGCACATAAAATTCTGTCTTAATAGCTTAACGTTTAAGTAAACTTTTGTTTTACAGCAGTGAATGTCAGGGTCAGAGCAATACAAAAATGAAAACAAAGATTTAAACATGTAGCAACATTGGCTTTGTTCCAAATGTACAAAATAGTTCTCAAAATTAAATAAAAATGAAATTATGTCAAGTGATGCTTAATACAATATACTACTGTTAGTAGATTGTATGTTTCATAACTTTACAAGCCTATTAAAAGATGGGATAAAATGGCCATGGTTAAGAAATGTGATTTCAGTAGAAGATTAAAGAAGTTTCTATAAATTATATGTTTGAGTGGGTAATTAACTATTGAGCTTGAAAACACACTTCACTGCACAATACCACTCAGTACGTATAAAATATAATGGCAATGATAAGGTAAATATAAGTATCAATTACTAAAGGATACTTAATATTTTAACCAGAAGTTGATAATTCCAATTGTTTGCTCAGTCAGCAATTTCTGTATGTTTGATACTTACTTTCATCCACAGATTTTAAGTTTTAAAAAATTTAATTCTTGGTGTAAGCTTTGCTTATTTTTTAAAACAGAAATGTGAGTGAAACAATTTGTATTTGGTTTTTGAAACATTTTTCAGTAAACCAAAGTCAAAACAGTTGCCTACATTTCAGTGGTAATATCAAAATATATAAGCTTGATTTTGGGGTTTTAACCCATCACTTACTATCTAACTTTCAACAAAGAACTGCCTCTCAATATAAAATGGGCCAGGGATGGCCAGGTGGATAAGGCGCTCGACTCGCAATCTGAGGGTCGCGGGTTTGAATCCCCATCCCACCAAACATGCTCGCCCTTTCAGCCGTGGG